TTTTTAACGTCCTTCCTGAGAAAACTAGAGCCTGACAAACCTAGGAGCCCCAAATAAATCAGTGTATATAAAAATATGTGATACAACCACTCTGTGAACTCAAACACACAGTGGCCGTTGTTCTCATGTTTTTCTTTCTCAAGTTCTAAAGACTACCTAAATTAAAAGGATATAATGCAGTATCCGCAATCACCTCTTTCTCTTTGCAGATGGACTCTGGCCACCAATACCAGTGGTCAAGTCATTCAAGGAGCCAGACATACAGAGGAAGGAGGGCCAGAGGCTGCACTGTGCAGTCCCACTGTGGGAAGTGAGACAAAGATACTATCTGGCCAAGTATTACTAAGCTTGGTTCTTCCTAACACCCTTTAAATCCTGGTGAATTCTATTCCCATACGGCCAGCTGTTAATGTAAGCCTCCATTCATGGTCCCCTACATATTACACTGAGGAAACTTCATTTTAATCCAATGTCATTCCAAAGGAAAGATTCTCAGATAAACATTTAGCAATCATCACAAATGGGACAAATTGGACTTGAATCTGTCAAGTTATGATTTTACCAGTATCAGATCACCAGAAGACAGAGCCCATCTTCATGTATATCGTGCTTTGAGCCTCCAACATTTTAAAATGATTTTTTAATGTTATCTTTATCTTTTGCCAATTAGAAAGTTAGTGAATCCACTTTAAACCAAAGTTGAGCGTGGACATTTAGTTATTTGAGGTGGTTTAGTTAAGACCTACAATCCACTGCTTTCCACTGGGATTTGGGGTAGGAAACCTGGGTCTGTCTGACAGGAAGTATCTACACCAGAGTCATGACTGAAAATTGCTTTGTAGCTGTGTTATTTTCAGCAGCCCTTTCGCCTCTCCAAGCCTCAGATTCACCTCTTGTGAAACAGATTTTGTAAGACCAAGAGCAGGTAGTTAAAATGCCTCAGGTATGAAGCTCTAACAAAAGCTAATATTGGTTTAGTATGGTTTTTTTTTAATGGAAGCTGAGGATGTAGCTCAGTTGGCAAAGTGTTCATCTAGCATGCTCAATGTCCCTGGGTCTGATCCCCAACATTCCATAAACGTAGTTGTTGTGGTACATGGTCACTCAAGAGTAACAGGAGGACAGTTAGGAGTCCAAGGTCATCCTCAGCTACAGAGTTTGAGGCCAAGCTGGACCACATGAGACTTTGCCTCAAGACATTTAAAAAACAACAACAACAACAAAAGTCCCAAAGAGACACCAACTTTGGATTTAAATGAACTTAGTGTTGATGTCTTTTCTGCTTTGAACACTGAGAAAAACAACTGAGCAGAGTCACCGTCTACTCCTCAAACTTCTGGAGAGGTACACAAATGATTCCAGAGGAAGAGGGGCCTTTGCTGAATGTTTAGCTTGCTCCAAATGCCAAACACTCAGGATGTCAAACAAGAAGCCCGAGGGGGAGGGGGGGTGTCTCAGCTTCAGTTTCACACTACACTACTGTTGCTCTTACCAAGCAGTCCCCGGAGCCGGTGCTTGAGAGCTGATTCACTGCTGACTCAGGTTTATAAATACCACTTCTTGAATCACTTGGAGTTTTCTTTAGTGGCTCCCTATCCCCGTCTCAGTGTTTCAATTAAGCCTGACCCTGCAAAGGAACTGATATCTGACAAGTTCACTTCCCACATTAGTGAGACTGCTAAGCCTATGACGTGTATGATGCGCTTATAAGAAAGAACATTCTAAAAATAAATTTAATGTATTCTCGTTCAACTCACTAAATAACTGATGTAAAAGACAGCGGGCTACATGCATCAGTTTTCTCTAACGGCTTACTAAATGTCAGAAGGAAACGGAAATATCCCAAATAAAGACAGCACTTTAATTCCTTACAAGGTAAATTAGGAAGCACATTTTTATTGTCGGGGGAGGCTGCTTTCTGGGGCTGGGGAGATGGCTCAGCACTGCTCTGGCGGAGTTCCTGGGTCCAGTTCCCAGCACCCTTGGGGCACCTCACAACCATCTGTAACTCCAGCTCTCAGGGGATCTGATGCTCTCTTCTGGCCTCACAAAGATGTCATGTACACGGTACCCTAAAACCATGCAAGCACACACATACACATTTTCAAAACATGTTTTCAAAAGTTGACATACAGCTGGGCGGTGGTGGCGCATGCCTTTAATCCCAGCACTCAGGAGGCAGAGCCAGGTGGATCTCTGTGAGTTCGAGGCCAGCCTGGGCTACAGAGTGAGTTCCAGGAAAGGCACAAAGCTACACAGAGAAACCCTGTCTTGAAAAAAAAAAAAGATGACATACGTAGATAACGTTCAAAACCTGAAACTTATTTGATGGGATGATTTAGAGCTACTACTTGTAAAGGCAGCTAAGGTGTCATGTTGAAAGCAGCTGAAATGGAACTGTGTGCATGAGAGCATTAGTGAGAACATAGTGCGTAAGGAATTGCAGTTGTAGTGTCTCCGGTGTCAACAGCGTCAGGGCCATCAGCCAAACTAGCAATGACAGCAGTGAGGGTCATCCAAAAATCCTTTATGTTTGCCTTTGTGTTATATATTATTCGCAGTAGATTTACCTTTCCAATTATACTTGATATCTACTGGCTTTTAATGGCTATTTATTACATGATTCATGGAGAAAGACACCAAATAGTACCCTCAAGGACATAGAAAAGCCAGGAAGAAGGAATTTTTCTAAACAATCTACAAAAGACATTGAGTCTCTAAGAGATTAAGAGGCATGGCCCGAGCCCTGTAACCAAGGACAGGGGACAGTCACTTCCTCTGTCAGCCACCAGACAGGTTACTTACTACAGTAGCTCTCCTTTCCTCCTCCAGGTTCACTATCCTGACCAAGAGCTGCTGTGTTTAGAACAGAAGGGACAGTAGGACTTAGAAAAGGAACACTTTTATCTCGGGAGGAGAAGGAGTCCGAGGGATGTCTGTATGATCAACAGCAAGTTGAACCAGCTGAACCATGTATTACAGTGATCTAGAAGGGAATTGGCATAGAACACTTCTCAAGGGGCCGCCGCACCGCTGATTCTTAGGATGGAACCGGAATGTAAAACTTATAATTTATGACAAGTTCTCTCTAATCTTTGGACATTTAAAGAAGCGATGAGTCTGTTTCAAATCTCTCCCCCAAATAGACAAAATCAGAAAGGAAGTAGAGTACTGTAACAGATTCCCAGTACTACCTATAAGTCATTTCCAACACCTTACCTACTGGGAAGAAGATCTGACCCAGGAAATAAAGGAGGAAAAAGTTCAAAAGACCTCGCAGAGAGACACCCAGTTTTATTATCCTGGAAATCGTGCAAAACCACAAGACGCTGGGCATGGCTGAACAAAGTTCATCAGCCATCCGTGTAAGGAGGTGAGGATAAGGTATGAAGGTGTGCACCGGGCAGGTCTCAGTTTCAAAGGTGTTGGCGCTGGGCAGTAAAAGCAATCCTCTGGGTCTCTTGGAAACTTTGTAGGAATTAAGCTGGCCACCTGCCCTTGTCAGCTGTAACAGGATAGAGTCACACTGACTGATAGAAGATTGCTTTTCTAAAACAGGAGAGGGGAGAAATTCAGTCCTACTTTGAAAGGAAGAGCCGTGAGCAAGAAGGAGGCCATCCTCCACAGAAATACTTTCGTTATTGAGAGTATACATTGGAAATGGGTCACTACAAAGCTCTGGGCTCCAAGTTTCCTCCACCTAGACTTTGACCTACTTACTTGGCCATTATTATATTACAATAAACTCCCAAATTGGATGGATTGCCCGTTACAATGCCAAGGCACTTCTGTTTGGGCAAGTCAAAGTCATAGAGAAGATTCTAAGCTACATCCATTCTGCATCCTTAGAATAAATGTTACAGGAAACCAGATTTAAAAAAAAAAAAATTCTAGCCGGGCGGTGGTGGCGCACGCCTTTAATCCCAGCACTCGGGAGGCAGAGCCAGGCGGATCTCTGTGAGTTCGAGGCCAGCCTGGTCTCCAAAGCGAGTTTCAGGAAAGGCGCAAAGCTACACAGAGAAACCCTGTCTCGAAAAACCAAAAAAAAAAAAAAAAAAATTCTGTCCTATGATACAATAATTTTAGAAAAACACAATTTCTGTGACAAATTTTCAGATTCCTTCTGCCTTCCTTCCTGACATGTATGTAAGCTTAGCTCCCTCCTACTTTACTCAACTACTGAATGGTCAAATTGTTATAATCCAACAATTCAGACTCAAGTATCTGTAACACACACACACACACACACACACACACACACACAGAGAGAGAGAGAGACACACACACACACCCCTTGCACAGGGCTGGGCTACACATCTTCTCTGAAATAGTAAATGTTCAAAGATAATAAAATTACTTCACCTTTAATGGGATGTTACTATGATTATAGAGTTCTATCGGCAAACAGGAGATGCCAACAAAGAAGTTCCAGAGGGGGGTGCAGTTATGTGAAAGTCTCCGAAACACAAATGAGCACCCCTAATCAAAGCCAGATGACTTATAAAAAAGGTTGTAAAATAAAAGCAAATACAATCCCTGAAAGAAAAAATATAGTGCATTTTAAGAGAATAATAGCTTAAGTTTTCAGTAATGATAAAGAAAAATTCCCAAATGCATGTTTAAGAACCTCTAAGAAATGGGAAGAAATGTTGGTGTCAACTCTTCCCTTTCATAGGTGGTGACTATTAGCTCATAGGAACAATTTCAGAATCTTCTCTTTTGTAGGTGGTGACCATTAGCTCATAGGAACAATTTCAGAATCTTCTCTTTTGTAGGTGGTAGCCGTTAGCTCATAGGAACAATTTCAGAATATTTGAACCTACAGATCTTCTAAATCGATAGTGAAACAAACATTGGCTTCCATCTACAAAACTACAAAATAAATCAAACTAAAGAAAAATAGACTATATACACACAGCAAGACATAATTGCAGTAAAGAACTGGCAGAAAACAAAAGGAAATGACGGGAAAGATAAACATATATTATTATATTAGTTACGTTTCTGCTGCTGTGATGAAACACCATGACCGAAGCAATTTCCTGAAGGACACTTTGATTTTCGTTTATGGTTCCAGGAAGTTTGAGTTCATTTTGGTGGGGACGGCATGGCAGCACACAACAACAGTTACGGGAAGCAGAGCAGTCACATCTTCAACTGCAAGCACGAAACGGAGAGTAAACATCAGGAAGGGCTGGGCTTTGAAATCTCAGGGCTCCCAGCAGCTTATCTAGTCCAGCAAGGCCATTCCTAGGCCTCCCCACATAGCACCACAAACTAGAAATCAACTGTTCAAATACAGGAGCCTATAGGGGACATTCATAGCCAAATCACCCCAGCTACAAAAACAAATATAAAGGGAATAATCTCACCCATTAAAGAAAAAAGTCAAAAAGACTCATTGGTTCTGAAGCAAAGTCCAGCTATATACTGTCTTTTTTGTTTTGTTTTGTTTTTGTTTTTGTTTTTCGAGACAGGGTTTCTCTGTGTAGTTTTGCGCCTTTCCTGGAACTCACTTGGTAGCCCAGGCTGGCCTCGAACTCACAGAGATCCGCCTGCCTCTGCCTCCCGAGTGCTGGGATTAAAGGCGTGCGCCACCACCGCCTGGCCTATATACTGTCAATAAGAGATGCATTTTCAAAATCAAATGACTCTGGATAAAGATAAGTAGTAAAATAAATGTATGATAAGTCAATATTCATTTTAAAAAAGAAAGAAAAATAAACTCATAGGTTACATACAATATAAACATCAAAGTACAAATCAAGAGAGGAAGCATTAAGTGTAGCAGCTATTTTTGTTTGAAATATATAATTTGCAATAAGCATTTTTATTGTAGACATGTACCAAATAATCAATAACAAAACTCTATTCTAAATTCTAGAAACTAATTACTATAGATATGAAAATATTAACATCATAATCTCATTCCTGGATAATGAAATATAAAAACAAAAACTAAAATCATCTTAATCACTTTCCAAAGCCAAATATATATAAAGTCCCATAAATCAGTCTACTACTCCAGACTATTTATGAAAACACTTAAATATTAGGCAACAGTAAAAATCTCGGCTATTTCAAAAGGTTAAAATGTTACAGACCATCTCTAAGCACACTATAAGAAAAACTAGAAAAATCATAAGGAATAAATAAACCACAAAGAATTTCCCCAATTTTATACTTGGAAATGAAAAAGGAGAGGGAGAGGGAGAAGGATGAAGAGAAGAAGAGGGGGTGAAGGAGCGAAGGAAGGGATGAAGGAAGGAAGCGGAAGCCAGGCTCATTTAGGTGACCCTTAGGTCAAGGAGAAAACAGAGGGAGTGGTTGGAGAACAGTCTATGAACTTGACAGAGGCAAACGTGCAGTATGGAGTTCTTGTTCTACAGAGAACCCATATGGCTCCCTTTGCTTTTCTTACTTAAGAGGTGGCTTCCCTTTATTGACTGGTCATGACTGTCTTATCTTTATTCTGATTTGAATATGGCACGGAAAGAAAAATGCTGGGAAACTGTAGCCAAAGTAAGGTGTTAATTCCAGGAAGAACACATACCGTAGGGAAACCTTATCAGGTTAATTATTTCAAAAGGATTCTTCATGGGCCTGCAGGCTCCTGGGAAAACGAGGTGTGCAATAGCTCTGAACACTGAAACCAAACAAGTCTCTCTCTCTCTCTCTCTCTCTCTCTCTCTCTCTCTCTCTCTCTCTCTCTCTCTCCCCCCTCCCCCTGCCCCGTGTCTATGCCTGTGTGTGTGTGTGTGTGTGTGTGTGTGTGTGTGTGTGTGTGAACTTTCCACTCCCTCACAAATGACTGGATTGGAATAACATGGTAATGCTCAGGCTACACTCACTTGGTAAGCACTTTTCATTTGACATCTTTTCAAGTGTTGAATTAATTTATTGCTTCAACTTTTTATACTCTGCCCTTCCCACTTACAGTTTGAAAAATCAAGTGGCCCTTTTCTGTTCTGTTTGTTCGTTTTATTTGTAACACTCTCGCTTGCACACTTCTTTTTTATTTGTTAAATTTGTTCTTTGACAATTTCACACATTAATGCATTCCAACTACTCTCACTGTCCACCCCTCCCTTATCTCCCTCACGTTCCTGTGGTGTTCTGGTCTGATAACCAAATAATCACTGGGGAAAGAATGCCAGGGAATAATCTAAAGGCCCCTTGTTCTTCCCAAATCTGACAGCCTCTGCTTTTCCAGCATCTCGCCATGTGTCCCTCCGAAGGCCACCCCAACACTGCTCTGAGCTCCCATCATCTAACATAATCAGGAAGAACAAGCTTGTTGAAAATAGCATCTCCTTTCCCACAGCTGACCTTTCTCCGGACTGTGGTGACAGACAACGAGCTATCGTGTTGAACTTATGTCCAAATATTGGTATGTCTCCTTTTGACTCTACCGTTTCAGAAGCACACCAAACAAATCAAGCCAATAAATGTGAAAAGCACCATCCAGCTCTCACACAAGGTTGCAGCTAGCCAAGGGGCAGCTGCTGCAATGTTTTGAAATGAATCATGTCTTAATATTCTACAGGCAATTACTTAAATAAAAAAATTAGAAGAGTATAGCTTAGCAATCAAAACTCTTCCCATGAAGCTACTGCAAATTCATCCTGAGAGGTCACTGAAAAATCTCCCAGCTCTCCAAAGATAATTGGTTTCTTTGAACAATGCTTAAAGGAAAATAGGAAAATAGTCTCATGGCTCTGAGTGAGTTCATCTTATGAGACCTCTATTCTTCAAGCAGGAAATTTCTCTGAAACAACATACTACAGATCTACCAAAAAAGCAGGGGATGGGAGGAAAACAGAGGCAAATAAACAAATAAGGACTCAAAATTGATTGGTTCACTGAAATTCATTAACCCTTATCATGCCTAGGAGGGGCTATCACGTTTTGATTCGGCAGGCAGAGGGACATGGGTATAGGTGCCAGCAAGCCTGACACACTTGGGGAGGTCAGAAGACAACTAATCGCAGGTGTCGGTCCTCAGGTAACCAGCACCTTCCATCTTCGAGAGGGATCCTCTCACTAGCCTGGTGCTTCACGAAGTAGGTGGAGCTAGAGGCCCACAGCTTCCAGAGCTCCACCTGAGTCTGCCTCCCATTTCATTAATGCTGGGGTTATGGCTCACACTGCTGGCATTTTATGTGGGTTCCAGAGCTCCACACCTGGGTCCTCATGCTCACAAGGCAAGGACTTCACAGACACAGCCATCTGCTTGGCCATATTGCTGTATTTTTTTTAACCAGCTGGAAATGGGGAAGTCTCTTAATAGAATCTGTAAATGTTCCTATTAACGTGTTTCATAAGCTAAGTACTAGCACATCTTGTCAGAAACTGAAGTGGGTCAAATAAAAGTCAAGGAGACAGTCGGAGACAGAAAAGAAGCATGCCTACGGAAAGGGAGTTTCATCTTTCTTCCTATCCCATGGCTCTTTGGATTTGGGGGAAGCTTTGCTTTACATCCATCGAACACACATCTTTCGTTATTATTTCTATTTGTTATGCTTTATGCTACTAAAGCAAACACTTGTCCTGTTTCATCGCCGGTTACTATGTGTCAAGACTACTATTAGGGAGTGAGCAGTTTTCACCTTTCTTAGAAAGATCACCGAAACTAGAAACTCTCTCTCGAGGTTGCTGCCAAGATTGTCTTTTCCCCAGAATGAGAAGAGTGGGGAACGTGCTGCATGTGACAGTGCTTGTAGCAAGGACAAATTGAAATAGAATCCAATGCAGTTCAAACTAAAGGCACAAGAGCTTCGCCTTCAGAAGAGATAGTACAAAGCTAGGTGAGGTGGTGCACACCTTTAATCCCAGCACTTGGGAGGCAGAGCCAGGAGGATCTCTGAGTTTAAGGCCAGTCTGGTCTACACAGCGAGATCCAGGATAGCCAGGGCTACACAGAGAAACCCTGTCTTGCAAGAAATACCCCCACCCCCAAGTTAAAGACCTTCCATTAACTGGAGCGTCTGGTCTACTTGGTCTCTGAGTCCAGTGCTAGGAACAGAGCTGAGAGCACGGATATATAAGCTGACCACAGGATGATAGTTCTCATCAATGAATTCTATCTGCTTTGTCTTCTATACCAGAAACAGTGCCTGTCTTACTCAGGGCTATTGCTGTAAAGAGGCAACACTTACAAAGAAAAACTTTAATTGGGGCTGGCTTACAGTTCAGAGGTTGAGTCCATTATATCATGGTGGGAAGCATGGCAGCATGCAGGCAGGCATGGTACTTGATAGGTAGCTGAGAGTTCTACATCCAAATTGGCAGGAAACAGGAAAAGAGAGACACTGGGCCTTGTTTAGGCCCTTGAAACCTCAAAGTCCACTCCCAGTGACACACCTCCTCCAACAAGGACATACCTACCTCAGCAAGAACTCACCTGCAAATAGTGCCACTCCCTGATGACTACGCATTCAAAAACATGGGCCTATGGGTCCATTCTTACTCAAACCATGAAAGTAGCTCAAATGGAAGGGAGGAGATCAGTTGCAGGACAGATACTCATAACGACAGAGATGGCTGATGATGGTGACACATTCCTGTCATCCCTACACTCAACTGGCCAAGTCACCAAGATAATGAGTTTGAGGCTAGTTTGGGCTACATAGTCAGATTCTGTCTCAAAACTAAACAAACAAACAAAAAGCAAATCAGGAACCCTGTCTCGAAAAACCAAAAAAAAAAAAAAAAAAAAAAGATTAAAAGAAACGGTGAGGGGAAGGGAGGAGAAGAAAAGAATAATGTAATTAGAAAACTATTATAGGTATTTTAACATGTTTTAACATGTTTAGGGATCTAAAGAACAACACGGATGTAAGAGCAGATACATGGACCATGTTAAAAAGAATCCAGGGAAGAGTTCAAATATGAATATCTAAAATGAACATTTTAGATAAGTTTTTTAGATAAGTTTAATATCAGATTAGAAAATTAGACATTCAGAAGGAAATATTAGTGAACTTGGCCACACAATGGAAATGTATTTAAAATGAAACAAAGAAAAAGAGCCAAACACACACACACACACACACACACACACACACACACACACACACACACACAAACCAACAACCTAGGCCGAGTAAATAAGGAAAAATACCAAGCAATTTATCATGTATATTTGAAGAAAAAGGACAGAATCTCTAGATTTCTTGAGAATCAAAAGTCCAAGAATTTTGTTTCTCAATTTTAAATATGTAAAAAAGATAAATGATCTTTTAAACAAAAATAATGTTTGGGTTTTTAAATATATTTAGATATTAAACATAGAAAACTGAAAACACGGACAATTAGAATAAAAAATAGAAATATATTATTGTCCAATTAAAATGTTTTTATTGTTTAAGAATTTCATACATTCATGTAGTGAGTGTGCATTGATACAAAGACTTGTCCATGAATGCTCATAGTGACTTTACCCATGGTTGATCTTGACGGTCAACTTGAGTGTGTCTGTGGCATTTCCAGGAGTAGTTAAATCTAATTAAATCTAATCAGTGGCTAAATGCCAAGGTGGGCTCATATCTCAATGGCATTATGGGGAAGTGGTGAAAGGCAGGAAGTGCAGGCCCAGTTGGAGGAAACAGATCTCTGGAGATTGTCAGTGAGGACTTGATTTTGCCTTGGCTCCTTCCTGTATTGCCTATTCCCCATTTTCTGGTGCTATAATAGGAATCTGTGCAGCCACATACTTCCTACCATGATGGGCTGAACCTTCTGAATTCATAAGCACAATAAGCCTTTCCCTTCTTAGGTTACCCTCTCAGGTATTTTGACAAAAGCAGCAAAAACTGACCAAGGCAATCTATAACAGTGAAAATGTCAATAATCCATACAACCATTGCAGAGTAAAGAAATAAGTTGTAGCATCTCCATATAATGGCGTCTGGAAAGTAATACAAAGATCAACTTTAAAACATTACAGAGGAAGTCACATACAGACAAGCACACCCATTAATATGATTCTGGAAGATAGTGCATGCATTATTGTGGAACTGGTAAGCAGGCCCAAGCAAGTACTCATTCTTATAATTGTGTCCACTTTTCTTTATGATATGTGCTAGTTTACATGTCTGTGTGATATTTTATTCTTATCATATGAATCTCTGTGTTACTTACTATTTCTGTTATTGTGATAAACTATCCTAGCTAAAACAACTTAAGAAAATCAGGCTTTATTATGGCTCACAGTTCAAGGGACAGCCCATCATGATGGAGAAGGCATGGCCACCGGAGTTTGAAGCAGCTGGTAACGTTTGGGTCCATAGTCATGAGGCAAAAAGTAATGAATGCTCAGCTCACTTTCTCCTTTTTAATAAGTCCAGGCCCTTGGCCTATGAAATGCTAGCACCCATAGTGAAGGGGAGTCTTCCTAGACCGAATTAATGTCATCTAGATAATCTCTCATAGGTAAACCCTGAGGATGGTCACCTCAGTAATTCTCATTACCTGTCAAGCTAACAACATTAACCACCACAGTCCCCAGTACACTCAAAATGCCTCTTTGTTGCCATGTACTCGTCCTAACCCTCGGTATAGTGCCAGGTAACATAAAAGGTACCCAAAAAATATTGATTGACTAAAAGAATTCATTAATAAAGTGTTATTGTAGCACTAGCATACTGTCTCACTTGACATCTGCTAAGGCTGGTAAGCTTAAGTTTGAGAGTGGCATTCTTTTCCTTTTTATATGTATGGCTTTATTTCTAAAATAAGAAATAGCATCAGCTTATGAATAGATCCATTCCATTGTTGACAGTGTCAGAGAAGATATGGCGAGGAAGACAGCCGATGAATAATGACACAATTCCCATTGCTGTGGTGCAAAAGATGACCAGGTGAACCCAGTTAGATCAATATAATGCCCACCTGGTGTCACCTGAATGAATGCTCTCTAAAGCTGGGATGGGAGTGACATTGGTAGTGACATGATTATAATCACTGTCTTCTATAAAATCCCTTCAGTAATTTTCCATCTACTTTATTTCTTGTAAATGAGACTACGGGGCAGTCTGTCTTGCATTGATTAGTCCAGAGCACACAAATGGCTTAATAATGAGGAAAGGGAAAGTGGGAATAGATAAAATAAATATTGCTTTAGCTCACCCCCTCTGGGATGTCTGCCATTACTCTCTCTCAAAATTGGTGTTGAAATGATCATTTAAAAATGAAAAACACAAATGAAGGCCCAGACAAATCAAACGCTGTCTTGTCCAATGCCAACTTTTCCAACATTTATGGAAAAGTTGGGGTTAGAATTCCTATTGTCCAACTCCCCATTTGCGGGTATTTAACCTGATTTGGTTTAGGGGTATTTAACCTGATTTGGTTTAGCTGATTCCACATCTTTGCATCTCTCTTTGTAGGAATTTCCACCCTTTTCTTCTTTTTCTTCCTCTTGGTGTGTGTTGGCTTAGGTGTTTTGTGGCAGTTCAGCTTTGTACACACCAAGCGCCTTCTCTACCACAGCTGTCCCCTGACCTATCTTCTTTTTAGAACATGAACATTCCCAAGCTTTCCTCTAAGTCAGGACAGCCTAATGTGAAAATCAAATGCCTTATTATGCCATGTGAAACTTGTCATGTATTCTATCTACATGTCAAAGGCAAAATACAGAAACACATACAATGTCCACATGCACTTGAGAAAAGGTTTAAAGAGATCAATAGCCAGGAAATCAAGAAATGATAAACTTAAAACAAAATGGACGTGATGATGTACATGGGGAGCTGGCAGAGGAGGCCTGGGTTCAAAGCCAGATAAACTAGATACCAAGTTTGAGGTTACCTGAGCTCTATAGCAAGATTCAGTCCCCCAAATAAATAGATAAGATAGGAAATGTGATAAAACAATACAAGGGATATTTCTAAATACAAAATCTTGTATCACCTAGAGATTCACCAGCTTGCTAGTTAAAGGTTATTACTATTACTGTTGCCCTTAGAGGCAGTTTGGAAACTTGTCCTATAGATTTTAGCAAGCAATTGGCACACTGGATCCAAGGAACCAGTAACATTTCAGATAGACTCGAGCATAATGGACAATTCAGAGTAAGGAGCCGGCAAGGTGGCTCCGAGAGAGTACAGGAGTTTGCTGCACAAACCTGGCGATCTGAGCTTGATCCCCAGAACTCAAACAGGAAGGAGACAATCAACTCTACAGTTTTCCTCTGACCTCCACATACATACTATGAAATTTAGGGAGGGAAATCCAAAGTAAGAAACACTGAACCACAATGAAGGACCCCCCTCCACTGCAGATTAGAGGAATCCCCAGCCCCAGAATGATCAGAGACTTCCTCTCAGACATTGCTTCTCCAAGAGGTCCTCACAGTAGGGCAATTGGAGGCAGGGGATGTAACTGAAAGAGAAGAGTTAACCTAGGAGAAGCAGGGTGTGTGTGTGTGTGTGTGTGTATGCTAAAGATCATGAACTCTGGAGACTTATCAAGTCCAGTTCTGCTTCTTACAAATTTCTGTCCTTGGTAAAGTTATCAGCTTCACTGGACATCAGTTACCATGACTGTAAAATAAAGGTGTTCTTGAAAAACCAAGGCAAAACAGATCACAAGTTCAAGGTCAGTCTAGACCACATAGAGATCTTACCCTCCCAATTGAGGATATTGTTAAAATTTACGTTAAGCACTTACAAAATAAAGGTGTTGTAAGGGATAAATTAAACTGATATTTATAAAGCATTTTGAATACCACCTGAGACCCTACATGTTGGGTAAATAAATATAATAAATAAAAATAATCTCTCTGGAGACCTTTAGAGGACTTCTTTTTTTTTAAGCTATTTCTTCACAGTTCCTCAAAATGCTGCATGTGGGCCTAACTGCTCACACTTGCATGAAGCGTTCCCTTGTTCCACCTCGACACGTCAGTAAATGGAAGGCTGACATTTAGAGCTGAGAGGCTGCACTTTGCAGAAGCCTCTGGAGATCTGTGCTGAGGTCGGAAAGAACCAGAAAACACAGAAACAACAAAGTTTGCTCACAAAACAAGCTCCAAGCAGTGGACCAAAGCCCTGCCACTGGGCTGGTAATCAGGGAATTAACTAGAGTCTCCCAGTCTCTCAGATAGGCTTTCCATAAAAGTCGAATTGTAACATTACTTGACAGATACTCTAACAAAGAGGACTGGCGCAGAACTGACATTTGATAGATCAGTAACAATAATGAATGTATTTATGGTCTGCTTACCCTATGTATCGAATTCTTCTGCCTGCAGTACGCTAATTCCAAAAAATTACACCTAATTTTGTCTCCAATACATGAGGCATATGAGGCACAGCAGGGTGTGAGAGCTGTCTAAGGTCACACAGCGAGCAAGTGTAGGAACTGGGATTCCCACCTAGACCATCTAGACAGGCATGATGGTTTACACTGTTATCTCGGTACTTGGAAGCTGAGGCAGGCTCATTGATGAGAGCCTGAGGCCAGCCTGGGCTATAAAGTAAGACTCTGTGTGTATATACATATATATGTGTGTGTATGTATATGTAGATAGATAGATAGATGATAGATAGATAGGTAGAATATATATGTCAGATATATATGTCAGATGTAAATGTTGAAAATATATATATTCACCTGGACCATTTGATTCCAGATTGTGTGCACTGAAGTCTCATGTCATGAAAGAGTTTAGAACACAGTTCAATACAAAGTGGAAGCCATGGGGGTATAGCGCCTGGAAACCCCTCCAGCAGGTGAACAGCTGTAAGTCCACAGATTTTGGAATGAAACTAACATCTGCTTGGCAGTCTCCCACCAGTGGCTACATGCCGTGGGTGCTACAGTCTGGCCACTTCTGCCCAGTGCTTCCTCTAGCAGATAAGCTTTTCTCTGGAGCTCCTCATTGGCTTGGCAGAGACCAGCAGATTGGCACTGTGACCTAAGGCTCGCCATGGCCAGTCCTGCTTCCTCTCTCTCTTTGTGTTCACAGTTGCTAGCCTCTGCCAACCACTATCCTCAGGCCCACTTCTCACGTGAGGCATCTCACAGCCCCAACTCTCTGCGTAGCATCTCACCTGTGAGGAAAGTATGTGAAGCACTGGAAAGCAGACCAGACCCAACACATCATAGGAAAGATCTGTATCCACGACAAGCAGGCCACCAACTCCATAAAAGCTTCTGCTTTGGCACCTGGTTAGCAAAGTATTCCTCTTTACCCAGGCTTCCACTTCAATCTCGCACTTAGGCACCTGCTTTCCCTTTGTCATTTTCCCACGTGCTTAGAAGATGAAATCTAATGTCATTGTACAAGACTGACATTTTGGCAGATGCAAATGCTTCTTCCTCCCCCAGTTTTTCCAGGAAGAGAACACGAAGCCTGGAGCAATTCTGCAGCTGAACTGACTTCTTCACATTTAAAATGTAGACACAGGAGGAGGATGGTAGGACAGAAAGGTCATAGGAAAACAGACTATTCTATAAGCTTTATATATAAGGAGAGGAGGGAGAGAGTGGGGGGGCATTAAATGGAGTTACCCCATGGGCAGGAGTTTTGCTCTTCCTAGAAGTTATAGATTGCCAGACAAAACAAACTAATGCCAGGTGTAGGATACCTCCCTTCAACTCATCAAGTAGTTGGTCAGGGTTGTCCCAGAGACCACCAAAACAAGGAAGGCTGTTGTCATTGCTCTGGTTTGCCCACTAGAACTTGTTAATAAGACCCTATTATTGAAGACAGCATACGTTTTGGTCATAGAACATGGAGAAAACAAGCTGGTACCAACCTGGGTATTTACTTCTGGCTAGCTAGCTTTCATAGAGCCATACCTCGGCTGCTAGGGGAGAAGTCATCAACAGTCTTATCCATCTGTGAATGCTTGAGCTAAATTAATGATCAGCCTGACAAGACATGCCCACAGGCACAATCAGGGTAAAAAAAAAAGTTATGGTAATAACCTATTGCTTTCTGATTGGGTTTAAGCACCACTCCACAGGAGGAAACTCACTCCTGGTACTGTAAAATCTGGCCAAAAATCTATGGCCAGTGAGCTCATAGGCCCTAGGGGAGAACCTGCTACTATTATGATGATAAATTGGTATACTATAAAGCTGCCTTCTAAATATTTCTCCCTATAGCCATCGACTAGAGCAGCTCTTAATCCCTATCAGAAAAATGTCTTTCTGCAGTGGATGGTGGTTAGTGTAGAGACTCACAATTTGTCAAAGTGCAGAGAACAAATGTCTGTGGAGTATTCAACCTAAAACCTATCAAACCTCGATCATACTCCTTGCCCCCAAGGTTAAGATTGTGGACGAGGGAGAAGGAGGACTGGAAGAGCCAGAGATCGGGAGGACTGGGGCACGATGGTGTCTTGAGGCACAACAAAGGCTACTGCACACATGCACCCACAGCAGTGTGGTGGCCTGCACAAGACTTACATGAGAGTAAGCCAGAGAACACTTCAGAATGGGCAAGAGAGGGGCTCACAAGGACCTCCTTCAGGGGCCTTACCCCAGGTAGATTGACCATGCTCAAGTAGATGGCTTGACATCCATGCACATTTGGATAGTGCTAAGTTTAGACTAAGCAGGTTATATTTTTTAAAGGAAATGAAGTTGGAGTGTGGGACATGGCAAGAGACCTGGGAGAAGTTGCGGGGGGCGGGGGGGGGGGGGCGCGTCTGGGAGTACATATGATTAAAATCATTGTATACATGTATTAAATTCTCAAATAATAAATAAGGCCACTAATTTTATGTTCAGTCAAAAAGCAATATACTTTATTAAACATTTCGATGAAGATTGTAGAACTGTAGTTATAGGAAGGCAGGTAAGACAGGAAGAAGTCCACATTTCCATAGAAGATACATTCTGGAGTAAAGACACATCATGGGCAAATTAAAAGTCAGATTGCTTACAACTTCTAAACCTGCATGGGTATTATAGAAACCAGCAAGGAAAGATATTACAGAAGCCGACACAGTAGACGGTACAACAGCATGGATATGGTTTGTGCTTGTTAGGGTTACATGGTACAGGTAACAGATGTCAGCACTGCCTAGTGAAGGCCGAAGAATGCTTTAGAAGAAAAAGAGAGAATGTATTAGAAGGGTATGAACTTCTCATGGGCACTGGAGACAGGGAGTCCGACTATAGCAATGTCTTATAACCAGGTGGTCTGATCAAGGAGCCTTGCTAGGAGGGAAGTCCAATGATCTGGAGCATCATCGCTGCAGGAATGAGACATCGGATTGGCTTAACGGGCACGTGCACCATTGTCAGCCCTTGGGGAGCAGTTAATAGCACCCTGAGCATAGTCCCAGCAGACATTCTCTGGTAAGAAGAAGACAATTGAAGAAGAAGAAGAAGAAGAAGAAGAAGAAGAAGAAGAAGAAGAAGAAGAAGAAGAAGAAGAAGAAGAAGAAGAAGAAGAAGAAGAAGAAGAAGAAGAGAAAACGAAGAAGAAGGGGAGGGGAGGGAAGGGAAGGGAAGATGAACATAACTTGGGCTGTTTAATAGGTTGTGTTAGGTTTCCCTGTTTTCACTCACGTACAAATTCAGGAGGCTAGAGATGACTTCATCTGCCTGTCTCTCTTTTACCTCTCTTGAGCTAATCAGGCCTCGGTGGGAGTTATGCAATAACCCATGACAACGACCTAAAGACACTTGTAAACACAGTGACTACTAAACTACCTTGCATGAGTTCAAAACTAGCACATTGATAGGGAGGATGCCTTTCAATTAGCTCTTTCAGCTGAGACCATCTCAATCCCTAACCCTCAGATCATCCCAACACCTATAAGGAGCGTGAGTGACCAGCCTAGAGCAAAAGGGTAGCAAGAGGTCAAGTCAGGTAGACGCTTTAAAGAGTGACTGAACGGGGCTGGAGAGATGGCTCAGTGGTTAAGAGCACTGGCTGCTCTTCCAGAGGTCCTGAATTTAAATTCCCAGCATCGACATGGTGGCTCACAACCATCTATAGTGGGATCTAATGTCCTCGTCTGGCATAAAATATATGCAGAAAGAGCACTTATACATAAAATAATAAATCTTTATAAAGAAGTTACTGAAGAATAGAACTCAACAGCTGGGGAGAATGAACTAGTTCTAACCAGTTTGCTACTGTATTAAATATGCTCTGCATCTTGCTTTTCCAGATTTTAAGAGTAAGAATTTCAAACTATAACTAATATTAAAGTTCAGCTAGTTCACTCTTTCCAATTTTACAACTGAAAAAAATAATAAATAAATTCCAGTGATGGGGAATGACTTGCCCAGGATAACACAGCTTTAAGGCAGGGTTCAGTCTTTTTGTCCCAGTTGAATACTCCTTTTACAATGACAAGGTTGAGCTATAATGGAAATAGAAATGCCACTACAGGTGGCACACTCCAGTGTAAAAATCCCTTGGCTCTATGACCTTGGTAAGTCATTTATCTTTCCTAAAGATCAGCATCCTCATCTTATTATTAGGAATAATGATAACTCTGCAGTGGATTCTTCCAAGGATTCAGAGAGGAAATGTTTGCAAAAAGTTTAGATGTTGCTCAGCATCTGCAGGCTTCTGCAGGCTTCCCATGAAAATACGTTCACTCTCTGGTTTGAAACACTTTTTGTTGGGTATTTTCCAAATTCTCCTCCTGATGCAGTCCCAGTGTTTTTAGAATCAAGCATAAACACCCTTCTCTGATCTTCAAAAGACACATGAAGTAGAGTGGAGGGGATACAGTGAAATATGCAGTTGAAGAAAATGGGTGAGGGGGACCAGAAAGTACTTAATTCACATGCTTTGTGTTTATTCATGAAACCACCTAAAATAAAATGTTTTTTTTTTTTCATGGAAAACAAACATTGGTTTTCCTGGGGCCCTCTTGCATTGCAACTAGATTGAGGCCTCTAAGCCAAGTGCATCGTAAACTGAATATTAGCGTCCCCTTGCCATCCTGCTGAACTAGAGGAAGTTAAACTTGTGATTCCTCTTTCATGTGCTACATGCATCACACAAAGAGGAACTAAACCCAAGCTCAGATCACCTGCTAGAAGTGAAGCCCGAGCCATCACTGTATGGTCCCTGCGTGTGCAACCACTGATTGAGAGAGGGTCATGTGATAAATGGGAAAACTCCCAGGGAAAGTAACCGAGAGTACTTTTATTGTCAGCTGCCCCCTCTTTCTCACTCTCTCTTCCTCTCTTATTCTCACAGAAGGCCTTATTATGTATCCCAGACTAGCCTTATAATTCTCTTGCCTCAAGCTCCCAAGCATTTCTATACACCAGCAGACCCGTGTTATTTTAATTTTTGATGCATAATCATTGTCTTACTCAGAAATCCAACTAGACTTGGAGGAAACTGTGAAACACAAGAAAGTGCAGTGTGAATACAAGGACTACATCCATTCACAGAGGTGGGTAGAGGCGTAACTTCTCAACCACAGAAGGGGTGGTCTAGTTGTTAAGGTAAACACTATAGTTGTCCAGAGTTAACCCTGATAATCATTTTGCTGGTTATCATCTTCCATGGTTTCTAGAACATTTATAGCCTCTTTTCATCTTCCCAAAGACCCCATGCTTGCCGTCCGACCAATCATCCTTAGTAGCACAGATGAGCTCGGGGAATATTGTTATGCGGCATTAGGGATGTGCTGGTCATCTCCATCCCACAGCTGCTCTTATAACTTCTTTTAACAATGAACATATTGAGACTTGATGAACAGTTTACAGGGGACATTGAAAATTAGACTCAGTATGGAAGTTAAAAGGTTTGTCATTTCCAGTGTGTGGTTGAAAGGGTCCCTGTTTTCAGAGAATTATATTTAGAGTAGCCAAATCATATTTCTGAACATGAATTGGAAGATACTCTCACTGACATTATTCTTTATACAACAAAACATTAAAAGCCTGGCCAAACTGTAGGTTTGGTAAACAGAAGTGGGTCCAGTCCTCATCTGCTTTTTGTTGCTATAACATAATGCTTGATGGTGGATAATGCTTAAGGGAAGAGAGAGAGATTTATTTGGCCATGATTCTAGCACCTGTAGAGTCTGAACAGCATGGCCTTAGCATCATCTGGGAACACCCCATCTGTGTCATGACACAGTGGAGGGATTGATGGTTGTAAAAGTCATGTGGGCAAGCAAGGAAGCAAAAACACAGGAAGGATCAAGCTATTTATAACAAAATTACTCTCT